TTGAATGTTCGCGGAGATCGTGCAGTCAACTCGGGAGTTATCATTGTTAAAACACTCCTTCACCCATGGTATCTTATCTGTTGATAAACTGTAGTTCCCTTCTACTTTGACGAGATCGTTTTTATCACATGAAAGACAGCGAAGCAGGTGGTAGCTCTCCGTGTTGTTAAGAATGAAGTTCGTCTTCTTACTGCGTGCGGCTCAGTTCCGATGAAATGCTGGCACACACAGGTTAATCTGAAGAAAGTAGTTGGGCAGGTTATGTCCCTCCAAGCAGAGTTCATGTAATAATATGTACATGCTTTATGAACATAGACATATACAGCTGACAATCAGTACAACTGTACGAAAAAAAATGTAGTATAACTTCATTTATTTAAAATGGGTATGGGCTCTTAAATAAATCAAACACTGTACACAAATCATAATCCACAGAATTTAGGCCGATACTTAAAACACAAACATTATTGAAGTTAAATTAAGTTAAAGTTCACTTACGTTGAGGAGACATCAATGTTTCAAAGGCAGATACGCTTGTTGGAATGATTGCAATTACAACTGATTTATGATGCTTTGAAAGCCAAGCCTATGAGGAAAACACCCCAGGTAATTCATTATATTTCCAGACTCTGGTTTTTTTGTTCACTAAAGGTCATCAAATAATCATAGCAGTGGCTGAATGCTAGCCGTAACAACAAAGAATAATTAACAATTCTGGTGCAGCTATTGCGATCAAAGAGAAAACAGAACATTCATAATCTCCAATCTGCTGTTTACGACAACCGAACACGAGTTCCAATACAGTTGTTGGCAGTTGCCTAGCAATGGGAGCGCGTGACAGACACACTGCAGTAGGCGTGCAGTTGAGGATGAGCACCATTAGACCTAATGAAACTGCATCGTACAAGTATTGATTATAGCTTGTCTATAGGCAACAGTGCATGCTTCCAGTCACCTGCATGTTGTATTGTGCATGTGTATGGATTATGTATTATATTCCTTAGTGTGACAGCTTTAATCTTTACTTTATTGGGTAAGGAATTATCAACACCAAATTTGTATAGCAGTTTTTTGGTGGATAAGGCTCGGAACAATGGCAGTCCGAGGATGTGGGATTCAAATTCAAAATCTACATGTTCTTTTTACTGTTTACTACAATTGTATGACATTTTTTAAAATTACTGATTACTCTAATCACACACACACACACACACACTGTGCCTCAGGTTCATCGCTGAATATGAACCGGAGGCCATCTTTAATGAAAATTCAAAATATACTGGACCGCAAAAGAAACGTCACGATATATGAGAAAACTTATTTGTCCAAACACTGCAAACATACTTTGAGGCATATTAAAAAGATGAAACTTGGCAAAACTGAACATCAAGGCTGGAATTAAAGTGTCAAATGTTCTTAAAGTGAAACACAACACTAGTGTCTGAGAAATTGACATCGCAAGTCAGTATCTCGAACGTTCGCCATGTGCATTGATGACTGTCGTGCACCGTCGATACATGGAATGGATGAAGCGGTTGATGAAGGCCATAGGCACTTGACCCCACACTCTGAGGAACACCAGATGCAGTTCAGCTGCAGTTGTCGGCCTTGGTCGGACGTCATTCAGCCGTCTTTGAATCTCGTCCCACAGGTGCTCAATGGGATTTAAATCGGGACTGAGGGCAGGCCACTGCATGGTTGTGATGCCATTCTGCTGGAGGAAGTCTCTTGTTGCTCTCGTAGTGTGGGCACGGGCGTTATCATGCTGAAACTCGTGGTTGCGGCGATGTGCCAAATGAGGTATGGCGTGTGGTCTGAAGACTTGATCAATGCACCGAGCTGCTGTGACACCATTGCCTCTCTCTGGACCGATGTTCTGGAAGACCACAGGGCCGACCATCTGTGCAAAACCAATTCCACCCGACACCATGATGCTCGGACCACCCCACGAGTCTCTCTCAACACACAAGCATCCCAATAACGTTCCACGCGGCGGCGCCAGACTCACCCTCTCTGCCATCTGCTGTTGAGATATAGTAACGGCTCTCGTCTGAGAACAGTACTCTTCTCCACTGCTGGTGGTGCCAATGCTGGTGCTGTGTTGCCCACTGAAGACGGTCCCGTCGATGACGTGGTGTCAGAATGGGTCCTCGCGATCGGTGTGGCCTGTGACAGTGGAGGTGTCTGCTCGTCAATCGTCGACACCACGGTGTCCGCACTAATAATTATGTCGCTGGTGTGTTCCCATGGTCTGTCGAGCAGTTTCCGATCTTGAAGATGCTGTCACACAATCTGACGATCTGGTGATGACGCTTGGTCTTCCACTACGTGGTCGGTAATCTGTAATGTTGCTGGAGCCTGTATATGGTCCTTACGTGGACTTGAAATGCATTGGCTACTTGCTCGGCGGTTTGTTCAGCTTGCAATCGTCCAAGGGCATGGGGTCGCTGATTTCTTGTCAATCTCGGCATGTGGTAGCACTTCAATAACGAATGAAAGTAATCCGATCTGGGTGGATTTTTATAGGGCAAGAAATGCGGGAACGCATGTGCATTTCAACTCACGTGCATCGGGTTACCATGGCCGTTGCCGTGATGCATTTGGGCGATCGGTTTAATTGTCATCTGCTTTGTTTTTTTATCATCAAATTTCATTTTTTAGGACCAGGTAATGTTAAATTTTAGACACTTTGCCAAAAAAATACCGCGATATTTAAATGACAACTTTTCATGCAATGTTACTTGGGGTGACGTTTCTTTTGCGGTTCAGTATATTAAAAAAACGCTTTCAAAGCCTGGAGTCAGATCAATATATGTAACGACACAGGATATAAAATAGTTTTCCAATGAGACATCGCATTTGATCACTTGTTGTGCCCATGTATCCTGATAGCTGTATTATCGGACTCTTAATGAGATGCTCTTTGTGGGCACACTTGACGAGTCACCAAGCCACTCAACTCGCGACAGTACGCCATCCGGGCATGAAATACCGCCTCGCGAAAACAGAGGCATTGATGTAGGCGGCGCACATCCCGACAATGTGCTGCCATTCGTCACACAAAAAATAACCACAATAATTAAAATATATCCAAGATAATATGTGACATGTATTCCATGTCCTTTCTTTGTATTCAGTGATAAATGTCTGCGTCAAATACTCCTATATAATATCATCTAAAGGTTACTCACAAGTCCTTAGTGCGCAACTTCAACTAAGCCAAAATCGATCTTCAGCACTTCGTCCGAGGACACTTTAGTCCTGGGTGGCAGGTGGGTCGGATCATTAGTTGGACTTATGCCTCTCCCTGCTTCATGCAGCGTTATTTATGATGATGCGCATATTCCCTGTGACAGATTGTGATAGTAACGGTTTCGAAGGAATGCACTACATCAACGCTATTGTTGAAACATGTATATCAGCGTGTCCTGGGGTTGTTACTTAGACGATTGTTGTGTTATTAAACCGTTTAACCCATCGGAAACAAAACACAAATTATTTTGTGTATGATTTACCTTTTTATGCAATTGTGTGAGTGCCGGATGCTACTGTTCGAGCAGCACATGCTTACCCGTTTCGCGAACACCTGGTGTCATCACTGGTTTTCGATCAGTGATCTGTTCATATAATGTCAACCACAAACTTGCCTTTTACGCCCAGTGGAATCTATTTCGGCAGGTAATCGAGACTGGTGATTCTCTGCCGTTGACGTTATGCATTTACGACAGTGTCCATCGGTGATGCTATTGTGATACTCTGGTGACAACACCGCATGCAGCATATTTTGATCGTGTTACTTCCACTCCAGATTAATAAACATGTATTCTCAACTTGATCGGGTTTTGTCAATGTGGCCTCTTTGTTGATATTGTTTGATGAATTAATGCATAAATATTTTGTCGAAAGCAAATTTGAACACTTACTAGCAATTATCTTTTTTACAAACATATAAAGGCTCATTTGTTGACCTTTTCTTTGATACAGTCGATTTATATATTAAGAAACTAATCGTGATCTTACGTGAGTTTAACCCTGCAACTGCTGTAAATCCATTAAATTAAATTAACAAATAACAAGAGCTACGTGATAAAACAAAGTGTTGTGTCAGTTATTATATCTCTCTTTGGTAGGTGCAAGAGCACTTCATGTCGAACTATTACCTTAATGTGCGAAAATGCAAGTTTCAATATTTAGTTCGATGTGTAAATAAGTAATTCACTTATCTTAGACTGGTCTTTCAATAATTGACACTGATAAGGAGAATACATATATTTCATATTCAATATGTGTATCATAAATCGTCTGGTAATTTAGAGCAATACAATTTCGTGTATACTTTTGAAATGTAAGAATTTTCTGATATATTTATACACGTTAAATACACTTTCACCTTTCACCTTAGTTTACCGTTTTTTTTGTACATTTACGGCAGAAGATTATAAAAGACAATTGCTGCTTGGTATTTGTAGTATTATTGATTGAAACGAATACTAAAACAGGTATTACAATAGTGTTAACATTTATGTGAAGTCTTTTGCTTGAACAAAACCCATTGAACCACTACAAGAACAAGCCATAAAAATTGTAATGTAGTTAAGTTTTACACCCCTTAAGAACACGGGAAAGTTGAGAGACTCTGTCGGGTCATAAATCTCTTAAAATGTAGTTTAGGTGAAGATTGTGGCTCCGCGCAGTGATAAATTGTCCGTGTCAACGTGACCCGCAATCAACAAGTTAACTAAAGACGCTAAACTTCACAATAGTCCTCGGAGAAAGCTGATGCAAGAAAAAAGGGTCTGCATTTATTTCAAGGTAACTTGCTGCGCGGACGTAACACCTCATTGAGGAGCGTGTCACCCTTGACCTAGAATCGAGACGTCAAGGCGAGGCGAGCGCTCTGATTGGTTATAACATGTGACGGACAGGTTGAAATGTACATTGTGTGTACGCAAACATGGCTGACGAAGTAAACAGTTGTGTCTCTTTGCGATTATTTCCAGGTAAAGTTTTGAAGGAAAGTGAGCGACAAGGAATGTGGATACCCTCCTCTCACCGCACATGAGGTCGTGCGTACGTCAGTCCGTCCATAATGCAGAAATGTGTCCCGAAAAGCTGGGAATACCTTGCTGGGCTGCTGCTGATCCTGTCGTCTGCTCGTGTTGCCGGTAAGTTTGAACATATTTGTGTTCTCCTCCTCTGTAGACAAGGAATTGTCGCATCAATCATATACACCTCTTGGCTGTAGAACACCCTTCCAGATTCAAAATTCACTTTTCGTGTTCCTGTAAACTTTGTCTGGGACTTTCTTTGTTGCTTTATGTACAGCTGTGCAGATGTTATATGCCGCTTTGTACATTGTGTTGCCTTCTGAGTCACACACTCTATCGATTTTTAAAAATCTTTGACGCGAAAGATATTACGAGACTTAATCATTTAAGCACTACGAAGTATTAAATAATGTTGTATCATAATCTGTTTTCAAAAATTGAGTTAAAATATAACGTCAGATGATAATTGTTTGTGTCAAGTGCAGAGATCGAAGGAAAATGACAAGATATAATTATAAGTGTAGCTGTTATGAAAGTGTTTCTAAGTTGAACCAAGTAATATTATATAACTACTTAAAACTATGAGTTTATATTTAAATGATTGCAATGGAAGTATGACTGCGTCCATACAAGTGGGGTCGGTGAGGTTGTGGTGGGGTGGGAGGGGTGGGGGTTGGGGGGGGGTGCTCTTTCAAATCGTTGTGTCTTGCTTGTCGATGCTAGGAGGAAATAGAGACCGTTATGCAAACAATATCTCCAAAAGTTTTAGTTCGCATCTAACACTGCTGACCTCACGGAGATCCCCCAAATCCACGCACCTTTGAAATCAGCTCAACATTAACGCGTCTCCACGCATTCTCACTGCAAGCGAGTTGTAAAACTTATGACAGGGTGATATGTGTTGAATTGAACAACGCGGATCGCCATAGAAGTAATATTGAACAGATAAATTTACAATACACAGTTAGAACCGTCCGTCCGCAGCAAACAAGGCGTCCAGGACACGAAGTGATGTTTGCTAACCCGAGCGACACACGGTAATCACCAGCACAGAGTCAAATTTCAGCTAAATTCCTAGCTACAAGTTTTGGATAGTTGAATGGTTACTATTATTTTCCCATGCCACTTTGTTGAACTGAACCTAGCAGCTTTTAAACACACTACGCAACAAGGCTTTGTTGTTGAAAGTCCATTGTGGGGTATGCATTTACATGTAGGGTTCTACCATTTACAAACGAACATTATGATTTAATTAGCACTCGTGTAAAGGGTGAAACGATGGAATTTGGCAATTTTGACCAGCATTATATGGGATCTTTGATTAGCCGGCAGCTGCGTGTAAATCCGTCGTATTTAGCGATAAGCCGGAGTCCATACACCGAATAACTGCATCATTACCTTGGTGTCTTACATGGCCCGAACACAAGATATTACGCTTGTGATATTAACTTTTACCCGTGAAGTTCATGCTGCCTCCACAAAGCAGATGATCGCATATTAAAATTTATTATGTGTTATTATAAAGTAAATTATCTCTAAATGAAATGACTTGACACCTTAAATACAGACATGTGTCAAAAATAACATATTTTATATTAAAGACATAGGGCACTAGGCATTAATTATTTAATAATATTTAGTCTTGACTCTTAACTTTGCACCTAGTTGTCCTGAAGCCTCTCATAGTTACGGTTGTCTGCGTATCTAGCGAGGAATCGTGAACATTCATGTTATACCTGGTAAATCGACATATGTAGCCATGTTTGGCTTTTAGATTTTCTTCTATTAATCACGTCTTATCCCTTCACAGAGGTCCCCAGTGTTTGATATTTTTTTGATTCGTGTAGAGTTTATTATTTACAGCTGTGACTGGGGTGTTTCCTCTCGCCCTCCCATGGTACAATGTCATGATTTATCACAGCCTGACAGCGGGGTTGGCATTGTCAAACAAGACACATTCGTTATCATTATTTGTGGCAATAGGCCGAAACATGGGACTCAACATCGTATAATTGACCCCAGTGCGCCACAACGTCAGTAATAGAGCTGAACGAGTACTCTGTGTGCTGCATTAGCTGAGTATTACCATCTGTAAATATTGTCTACGTTATATATATAATTCTGTAACCGCCCTTTCCCATGGGCAATTTATTCGGAATTGGATAGATGTTTGCTTATCTTCACATTATGATTATAAGATTTGATTATTATCAGAAGGAAAGTATAGGAGGCACTACTGAATGGACCTTCAGGAGGTAAAAGTAGTGCTTTCGACCTTCGTATCTGTTGACAGTATAAACACACCATTAAGTTAATTAAGGTTTCGCAAAGTATAACACAATGATTACATGTAGTTAAACACTGCTTGCGCTACGGGGAATTATGTATGTATCCCCCAGTGAATGTAAGGTGCCGGGTTGCCTGCACGCTATTTCAAAAGTTAATGTAATTTTATAGCGATCGTAAAGAAAATGCTTGAAATGTCAATCTGTTTCCCAATGACGTTATTTTATCAATTTGTGACGTCATGAATAATGGATGACATCACAAAGTTTTATTCTCAACAATACAACAGTATGACGTCATATCATCTTTTAGAACCCCTAAAACTACATTCTGGGTATTGTGTACTAGTGTTTATTTTACGTGCAGATACTAACATACACTGGCAAGAACGGTTGTCGTAAAAAACGTTATATGTTTGAACCTTTTCCAATATGTAAAATGACAGATCTAATGATAAATGTACATGGTGCAGTAATCACAATATCATTGATATATATCGATGATATCCCGGTTACATAAGAACTGCTTTACCGTGTCATCGATTAAATCATCGAGTATATACGTGACATGTAGTGTAACTAATAAGACGCTCGTTTCGTCCGTGCAATACGCATGCAAGTACAATCGTGCCTTCTGTGTAACTTCAGCTAAGGAAACCAGCTGTTTCGCTCATCGATGTAAGAAATATGTGTTTGATCAACACAGTTATTATCACCTAAATCGATCCCTTCATTCGTGTTATTACAAAATGTGTGATCTCGGCACATGTCATATTTCACGATTGGGCCTGTCAATGCACTGAACGACACTGTAACTCCATGCTTTGTTCAAACAACATATGACTGAATGATAGCTGCTTGTTGTCTTATTGCATAATATCCATGTCAAGAGCGCAGTGTACACTCTGGTACCAGGCGTGTTATAAAGCCAGTGTTAGTTAATAGCTTGTCAATTGCACATGCTCCAGTTGTAGTTATCATGTGATCTTAGGTTATTTCAAGAGTAAAGGGTTGATTTCAATATCACGTGAGAACATAAATCAAGATTTTGTTTGACAGTAAAACAATAACGTTTTTCTCATAGAACGAGTAGCAAGGCCACTTGCGCTTTATCGGTCAAATGTTAATTCATGACGTATTGTGTTTCAACTTGATACTTGCTGACTGGACAACTTTAAACTTTTTAGATGGCTCATATTAAATTGACCTCAAACTCAAGCTTATACAATTGGTTAACGGTAATGTAAAAAGACACCTATTTTGCTTCGTTTATATTTTTGTCACTTTTTATAGTGTTGACATTTGGACAATATGTCAGTAAAACAGTTTAAAAATGACATTATAAAACTCCATTTACCTTTTGTATGGTGTATGTAGACAAACACGAAAAACATAAAACATAATACATACACGATGGTTGTACACGTAGTGCGCAGCATTGATCTGACACTTTCAACTAAGGCTATCAGTTGACGATGAAACACATGTTACAGTTATATACATAACAACAAAGGAGAATATATGCTAGGAATCCGAGAGGTTTTAATTAGATATATGTCAACGTGTGTACCAGGTGTGGTAGTGGAGAATATTTTACTTGAATAATTAGTTGTTAATTAGAATATATATCTATATTACTGTCACATACACATACAAATGTAGACTTCAGAATGAAATGACCGTATGTGGATATGACTGAAATTGTATGAACATAAGTTAAACTGTTTTGAATATGCTATGGAGTGTGAACACCCAAGGTTGGAGCCACTGTTCAGGCTTTGTTCAGGCGTAATGCATGACATCATTCTTCAACCCAGTAATATCAGGTAACAATAAAAAAACATAACATAAATCAAGACTTTTACACCACTTATATCATTTATTATAAGGTTATATTATTGCACGAGTGGCCATGCACTTTCTCCGAGTAAATGTTATACCATACTGCAATAGTACACGAGACGACAAATACATGTACGTTCATGTATAGAGGAAGTACGTTCGTGTATAGGAGGAAGCGCTTTCATGTATAGGAGGAAGTACGTTCATGTATACGAAAAGTCAGTTTCACGCCTATCTTCAATATTCCTATGATCATGGAACAAGCCTATGAAATTTAAACACAACACACTCTTACATTTTTAGCATGACACATTTAGAAATACCCGCGCTAATATGTTGTATTTCTCGTTTAATAGTGTATAATGCATTCATCTATAGAAAACCTCTTAATGAGTAACTGCAATGGTAACGGAGAATCATGATTGATTGTATATTCTTGCCAACAGAGTAAATCACTGATGGATTACAGAGCACGGGGTGTGCCCAGTAATCTGTCAGTGATGTGTATGAATGCTAGATCGAGTCAGCACAACCAAGAGATATTTGTTACAAAAAATAGGTGGTACATATAGCTTTGGTGCCTTCATACAGGTTCGAAAATGCTTTCCAGTGAAGACAAGCCTTATTTGACATACAAATATACATCACCACTTTTCACAAAACCACATATAGTCGATATCAAACATTTCAAGATTTATCATACCAAGCCACAGCCCCACAAGCTCCCCCTTTTGGTCCTTCACCCCTACTTATCTTTCATTCCAGGTATTGAATCAGGCATGGACTACCTGTGCATACTACCTGTGGTTTTAACGCTAGGGTGATAATAGTGGGACATTGGTATCCCGGAGCTGGGATTAAGGGGAGTAAGACGCCCAGACAATCGCGTCCTACCGTTGTATTTGGTCATGGATATTGACTTAAAATGTGTCAGGCACATTTCCCTATGGGTGTCTTGTACTGATACTTACACTGTTGGATTGTAATGGA